TGCTCACTCAACAGAAAATGAAGGTACCTCACGGACGTTTGAATACTCCAAGCATCTAACCAGAGGCCTTTTGGATTGCCCTTAGAAGGAAAGAATTGCTCCATTAGTTTGAAGAAAGATGGCTTCCTTTGTTTTGGTCTCTTTTCAGGGTCTGGTGACGTTTGAGGAGGTGTCTGTTCACTTCACTGAGGAGGAGTGGGCTCTGCTGGATCCGAACCAAAGAATCCTTCACATGGAAGTCATGGAGGACAATCGTCAGGAGGTGGCCTCTCTGGGTAAGCTCCCCTCCCTGTCCCTAGACTCACAGATGCTGAAGGGAGGAATGGCTCCTTCTAAGAAGGACATTAATAGAGGTCTTCTCATAGGGACTGTCATAAAGGAGTGGAGTGACTTACCTCCAGCCAGGTTGCATCACATGCACTCGAAATATAGCACAATCTGCTGGAAAGGATGTGGACTAATAAGTGACTTATTCCATTGTTGGTGGTCCTGCCCAAATATACAAGCCTTTTGGTCCCAAGTAGAAATGTGAAGGCCCGGAAAAAAACCGTTTTTTCCCCGTTTTTTTTCCTGAAGCCTTTTTGTTTTTCTCAGAAAAATTGAAAAAAGAAAAGAAAAGGGAAAAAATTGATTATGGAACGTTTTATTTTAACATGATGAATAAAATATTTTAAGACCAGGTGTTCAAATATTTTCCAAATCATTTCTAAAATATATATATATGGTATCAGATTGATGTAATTTCTGTGCACTGAGGACAAGCAAGTCCTAGGTTACAAACTGAACTCTCCAATGCAAGAACAAGATGCATTTCTTCCTTTAGGAGGTGTGATTGTCAGAAGAAAATAAAATAGTTTCAGTTTTGTTTTTGCATGTGGGTGGGTATTCTGTAATAATTGTTTGGATACACTATACATTTAATATGCTAGTTGTGATAATTTCATGCCAAGTAAAAATGTCCATAGTCATATTTTAAGTTCCTAAAGTAACAGAATGACTTTCAAACTAGAAAAGACAAAAGAATTGCTAATGTAGCAATTTTTTCAATTTTTCTGAAAATTTCCGTTTCCCCCCGAAAAAAACCGGGTTTTTTCCAAGCTTCAAAATTTCCGGAAATTTTACATCTCTAGAAGTGTTACAGGAAATAAAGGAGATTATGTCTCAGGATATCCCGTTTGATCCAGCTGTTTTGCTTCTAAACTCACCGTTCATATGTAATGATCAAGAAATTCAAGTTTCAGGTTTACCATCAACACTACTGGCCACAGTGAGGTTATTTGTCGCTGCCTCTTGGAAACCCCCCAACCTCCCATCACTATAGCAATGGAGAAATAAATGCTGGGACCACTTTCTAATGGACAAGATTGCTGATGTTTATTATAATCACACAAATAGCTCAAAAGGCCCTTATTCCAAATACGTCAGGACGTGGTTTCCATTAATTAACTACTTTATGGGAAAAGGCATTATACCTTCAGATACAAGATATATTGAATGGTTACGTTTCTAGGATCCATATTCTTTAGTCTGAGCGCTTCTATCAGGTTCTTTTGAGGGCCATGAGAAGTACCAGGCTCTGTGCAGACCCAGTTTATTCAGTTAGTTCACATAAGGTTCAAATGTAAGTTTGAAAATTTTTTGGACCGTCAGTGTATAACACTGTTTTTCTATCTATATAATGTTCTGAAGCATCATTTCCAATAAACTTATTATTTAAAAAAATAAAAATAAAGGAGTGGAGTGGATCAGGTCTGTACTCAGGCAAGGAAGAGACTTTTGCAGGAGTAGTGGACTCCCCAGGTATTAATTTGTGAGCTAACAGGAGAATCTGTAAACTAAAAAGAATTCCTCTTAAGAGCCATTGAGGAGAGAGAGCAGGTGAACAGCCATGGTAAGGCAAGGGGCAGATGGCCAAGAGGGAGGCTTTTGAACTGGGCTCCTTGTGGGCTGTTCAGAGCCCTTAAAGAAGGATGAGAAAACTGTTTTTTAAAAAAATTAGGGATTGTTAGTAAGCGTTCAGCATTCTGTGGCTCCATCACCACTTTATCCTGTCCTAGAAGGACTCTGGTGTCTCTTCAAGGGGAGAGGAGTCCTTAGACAGCAGGCCTTCATCAGAGCCACATGAGATGGTGTCAGACTGGGATGTTGGAACTCTTGTGCCTTTGAAGAGGGCTAAGATGCTGTATCTGGTGGCTCTGTCTGGGGTAAGGCTTCCCTTTGCTGTGCAGACGTTCTCTTCTTCTCCACATTGGGCCTCTAGATCCTCCTGGATCCAAGCAGTAGTGCCCTCCCCTCCCACTGCATACATGTTTTCAGGAGTTTACAAATTTGGCATTCCTTCTTTTTGCTGTTAAGAGGGGCTGGGATTCATATAGGCTGGTTTACTATCTGAGTGCAGAAGTCACTGTTCTGTTTCTTTCCCCCAAAGAAAGACTTCTGCTTTTCAAACCGGATTCCAGATCCACAGTGGGAGAAGCAGGAAATCCGCTTTCCCAAGACCCAGAAGAAAGAGAGAGATCAGCAGGTATCTGCTTCCTTTTGGGATTATTTGCGTACTGGAGAACAGAGTGATTTCTCAAGAGGAAACAGCCAGGGAATGCCTATGAAAGTGTTCTCAAGTGTGAAAGAGAAGCTAAAACCGGGATGAAAAGGCTGGCTTGTTTATGCTTTGGCTGGGAGGGAAATGTTTATACAGGCTTTGCTTCATTCAACTTGGATTTATTTAGATACTGTCTGTCTGGATACTTGTTTGTGGAACCTCACAAACATCAAAACTGCCACAGAACAGTTCATGCTTTATAAATCATCAGAATTCATATTTTAAAATGGGGGGGTGACAAGAATGTGTGGAAGTCACAGGTCTGTTTCTTTCCCCCAATGAAGGACTTCTGATTCCCAAACCTGATTCCATATCTACAGTGGGAAGAGATCCACTTGTCCAAGACCCAGAAGAAAGAGGGTCTGCAGGTATCTGCTTCCTTTTGTGTGGGAAGAGGGTCGGGACTTCTCTTGGACTAAATTTTAGTCACTCGAGAATGGAGTGATTCTTGAGAGGAAGCAGCCAGAAGATGGCTACGAGAGCATTCTCAAGTGTAAAAGAGAAGCTAAAACCACCTAGCGTAGTAACATCTCTTCTGACAGGTGGTGGTGCTTAAGAGAAGAGGAGGCTAGACCTGGGATGTGACGCATCCAGGGTGGGTGATGTGTCGGGGGGCAGCAGGTCTTTCCTTTATTTCTTGGATTCTGTTAATTCTCCAGGGTTCTAGTGCTCTTGAGATTGTTCCATTTACCCAAACAACAGCCCTGTGATGCGGAAGAGGCTGGGAAAGAGCGATTGGCCCAAGACCACTCCAGTTCAGTGGACAAGTGGGGAGCTCAGCTTGGGTCACCATAGTTTGGCTGTAAAATCCTGCTGCACCCTGTGTGTTCAGAAAAAGGTGCTCTGTAATGTGTTTGAATCCAGGAAGAGATTGGCCAGACATCCCTCTAGTCCAGCCTCCCATTTCCCAGAGTGGCCTAGTAGAGTCCCTGGAAGGTTCGTGAGCAGAGCCAAATCCTCCCCCTGGGACTGTCCTTCTGGCAACCAGCCTTCCGAGAGATACTTTCTCAAACATGAATGTTCCACTTCATCCCCTTGCCTCTGATGGGCTTACCCTCCAAGGAAAAATCAAATGCTGAAGTGGCAGGATTTGTCTCCTTTTGCAGTGATTTCTTGCCTTGATATTCTTCTCTCTCTATTCCAGAGGTGGAAGGTCCGCAGAATACATCTGAGGGAGAACAACAACAGTTCCTGTTGGAAGAAAAACAGCAGAGAAGAAACAGTGGAACAAAACTGAAGAGGGGAAATGAATCCTCTTCTCAAGATGCTGAATCCCAGGTCTTTGATATGCACAGAGGAATCCACACAGGGGAGAAACTGTATAAATGCTTGGAGTGTGGAAAGAGCTTTGTTTGGAGTTCAGAACTTATTTACCATCAACAAATTCACACAAGAGAGGAGCCATATATATGCTTGGAGTTTGGAAGTAGCTTTGCTTGGAAGGGACACTTGACTGTTCATCAGCAAATCCACACAGGGGAGAAACCATATACATGCTTGGAGTGTGGAAAGAGCTTTGCTCAGAGTTCACGACTTACTTCTCATCAGCAAATTCACACCGGGGAGAAACCATATAAATGCTTGGAGTGTGGAAAGAGCTTTGCTTCGAAGGGAGACCTTACTGTCCATCAGCGAATCCATACAGGGGTTAAACCATATAAATGCTTGGTGTGTGGAAAGAACTTTGCTCAGTCTTCACAACTTACTTCTCATAATCGAATTCATACAGGGGAGAAACCATATAAATGTTTGGAGTGTGGAAAGAGCTTTGCTTTGAAGGGAAACCTTACTGGCCATCAGCGAATCCACACAAGCATGAAACCATATGAATGCTTGGTGTGTGGAAAAAGCTTTGCTCGGAATTCACACCTTACTCGCCATCAACAACTTCACACAGGAGAGAAACCATATAAATGCTTGGAGTGTGGAAAGAGTTTTGCTTTGAAGGGAAACCTTACTCGCCATCAAGGAATTCACACAGGGGAGAAACCATATAAATGCCTGGAGTGTGGAAAAAGCTTTGCTCGGAGTTCACACCTTACTTGCCATCAAAGAATTCACGCAGGAGATAAACCATATAAATGCTTGGAGTGTGGAAAGAACTGTGTTCATAGTTCACACCTTACTTCTTATCATCAAATTCACATAGGGGAGCAACCATATAAATTCTTGGAGTGTGGAAAGAGCTTTTCTTACTTGCCATCTTTGAGTTCAAACAGGGCAGAAACCATACAAATGGTAGGAGTGTGTAAAAACTTTTCTTCAGAAGAACCATCCTGTGAAACACCAAAGAATCAACACACTAGAATCAGTATGAATTACTGAAGTGCAGAAAGAGCTTTGCTCAGTCGCACGCTTAATAGTCAGACCTTAAATTCCCCGAGTGTGAAATGGGCTTTATGAACTACTCATGCCTTAGTTACCATCCAAGAATCCACACAGGGGCAAACTACAAATGCTTGGAGGGTGGAACAGGCTTCAGTCCGAATTTCCTGCTTTTACCTTACCAGATTCATACCAAAGTGCATAAATGTTTCTAGTGTTGGAAGAGCTTCACCTCCAAGCCCAATCTTACCAGGGCTTATGAGGTCCCTGTGGGGGAACAATCTTGCTTCTTATCAGAGGAACCAGAAGAACGGCAAGTTGTAGAACTGTTTACTCTGTGGTTGGAGTTTTTGTGCTGCATCTGGCCACGATTATACAGCTGTTGAATTTGTTCTGGTTGAGACGTTCCATTCTTAAATAAAACTGTTAGAATTCAGTTTGTGACAAAATATGGCTGACTTGTTCTACTTTTTTATCATATGTCATTAAGGCGATTCCACATATTCTGAGTGTGATTGGGAGATACCTTGCAGTTCTGGGATTCAGCATCTCCTTAGCCAAATGATTCTCTCTTTGTGTGTTTTCCCTTCTTCCTTGGCACTTTGGATATCCCTTCTTATATTACGGTCCTAAATTTACAAGGGGATTGTGACATCCTCCTTATTGGGGAGGACTGGTTTCCCTTTAAAAGTGTTCTTTATTTTATTTTACTATGTACGGCTGCCACCAGGAAATTAAAGGCTTTCCAAACCTTTATACTTTTACTTCTGCTCTTGCTGGTTAGGTAGACTGAGTACAAGGCTTATGACGAACTATGTGGTCTTGAGGAAGTATTTCTTTCAGAGCTGGTATATTTGAATAAAAGAGGATTTATTGAAATAATTCATAAATAAAAGGGTGGAACAAGGTATCTAGTAATGTGTAATAAATGAACCATTGCTTGGTGTATCACACACAATAGGCTCCCTTACTGACAGGGATCTTTCAGGTAACTTTGTAACGCTTTAACTCGGTCATATATTTTCACTCTTTCTCTCCAGTTTATCAGGACATACAGCCTTTCTTATAACTTGTCTTCAATTATTCATGTATTTTTTCTTATTCTCTCAGCCTTCCTTCTGTTTCTCACTGAACTAACTTTTTCCATACAGGACTGCTTCTAACTTCCCTCACACCCAGAACTAACTGAACTCTTCAACTGTCAAACCTGTAACTGTAACCTCTGACTGACATACAGACATATCCACTTATTCTCACTTCCAAAACCCCTCCCCCTCTCTGTCAACCACCAATCATACCATGCTTGCTTCTCTCAACCACTCTAGTCTACTTACCACCGCCATGCAACCAAACTTTTAAAGAGACACACACACACATAAAACAAGGAATCATTACAGGGATTAAGTGAATTCATGAAAGATTGCCATTGTGGCTAATAGCCTCTGATGGGCATATTGGAACCACCATGTTCAAAGCCAGGAACTTTCTGAATGCCATTGTGAGTTGCAGAGCCAAATATGAAAGGAATCAGGATATCATGGTCCCTGCAACCAATGCTCCCTCTAAGCTGTGGAGTCTTGTGAGCAAAAATTCAACTTTGTGAGCTACTGGCATTAAAGTTGTGAGCGAGCAATGTGGCTCCTGCATAAATTACTTTGCTCTGGAGCCATCCTTCCTGAGCTAAGACAAAAATATGTGAGCCGGGGGCTAAAAAACTGTGAGCTAGCTCACATTAACTCAGCTTAGAGGGAACACTGCCTGCAACCCACGGATCCCCTGCCCTCCACGCTTCTGCTCTGTATGTAATGGTTGTCTGCCACAAGCATAACATAACTGGAAATAAAGTCAGGAACCTCAAACTTGGCCCTTGGCTTCAGGATGACAATAGAGGTTCTGAGCTCAAAATAAAGAGAATCAGAATACACTGGCCCAGATAAGTTCAACATCTCTCTGCTTTTTGCAATGGAAGCCATTTATTCCTGAGAAACCAGGGAAGTGCAAGCAGGACACCCAGGGAGGGTGGTATGTATCCCCTCTGAGGAAGCAACCACTTCCCTGCCCTCTGACAACAGTGTTGGGTAGGAGGTTAGAAGGTCAGACTAAGGTCAAGGAGATCCAGTTCTGAATCCCCATAGGGCCATAGAATGTAGCTGTCTGGCTAGGTACACAATCCCAGCTGACTTACCTTGCAGGGTTGTTGTGAGGTTAAAGTGGGGAGGAGAAGAATGTAAGCCTGTTTGGAGATAGGGAGGTAGAGGATAGGAAGGGTGGGGATGGAGAGATCCCTCAGTGGGGCAGAATGCCCTAGAGTCCATCCTTCACAGAAGGTGCTTTCTCCTGGAGAAATGATCTCTGTATTAGGGAGATGAACTATTCCAGACAATCTCCGAGCCCCTCTAGGAGAATACCAGACAGGTTCACGGTGTAAATAACATAGTAAGTATGAAAAACAATCACTGTAATAGTTAGGCTACTATACTTTATGCCTGGTAAATTTACGAATTTCATTGACATGAAGAGATAACAATAGCAACCATTAAAATAATCTTAACGAGCAAATAGTTATCAGCTCATTCCTTGTTTCCTCTTCAGAAGTTTTCATTCTTCATTGTCTTCCTCTTGTTGCAGTTCAAAACACTAGGAACACCACAGAGCTGAATGGAATATATCTCTTATTAGGGAACATGTATAAAATACCATTTGTTGCGAAAGATCACTATCTCTCCTTATATATAATTCTGTTTTGGTCATGGACTCCCCTGAACATTCCAACACGCTCCCAAATCGGTTCGCTCCCAGATCTGTCATTCAGAGGATCTCCATACCCACTGGCTGCATTGCCTGAGTCCCACCTCCAACATTCTAAACAGTTTGCTGCTCCTCTTCCCCTCATAGCCAGTCAGAACACAGAGGTCATTTGCATATATGGCCTTTGCCTTGGAGCACAGAGGTCATTTGCATATGCGGCCTCATTGGCCTTTGCCTCTAACATTCTAAATAGATTGCTGTTGCTATTCTGAGGTAAAATGTGTTCCCCTTAGTGCCCGTTGGGAGAAACCATTGTTGCCAATCTCCAGGTGAGGGCTGAAGATCACTCAGAATTACAACTGCTTTCCAGATGGCACAGATCAGTTCCCCTGGAGAAAATGGTGGACTCTGTGTCCTTATATCCTGCTGAGATGGCCCCTGTATGACAGCCAATGTGACGTAGCAGTCAGGGCTTCAGAGCACAGTAGAGGCTGTAGGTGGGGGGGGTGGAAAGCTGAAGAGTGAGGGGGAAATAAAGGTAGGTTGATGATTGGCTGGGAAGGAGATAGGGTGCAACTCCAGGTGGGAAATTCCTGGAGATTTAAGGGATGGAGCCTGGAGAGGGTGAAGTTTCAGGAAGGGTGGGGCGATAGACTCCACCCTCCAAACAAGCCAGTCCCTCTTGGGGAACCAATGTTGCCAATCTCCAGGTGGGGGCTGGAGATCACTCAGAATTACAACTGCTCCCCAGGAGGGAGGGGGAAGGAGATGGAAAGCTGAAGTCAGAGGGGCAGATCAAAGTAGGATGCTGGTTGGCTGGGAAGAAGATAGGGTTGCCAACTCCAGGTTGGGAAATTCCTGGAGATTTGAGATTCCTGGAACATGACCAAGCCCCACCCCCTGCTCCAGCAGCTCTCAGTTGGCCACGAGGGAGGCAGAAGAAGAAAGGTAAGTTGCCGCCTGCAAAAAGGCCAGGTGCCCCCCCCGCTACTGTCTCTCTTGAGCCTTGCGCCAGAGTGCTGGGCCTGAGAGAGGCCTGCAAAGGCCGGGCACACACACCCTTGCTGCCACCACCTCTCTTGGGCCTTGTGCTAGAGCGCCAGGCCTGAGAGAGGCCCTTGCCGCCAGCGCTGCCACCTCTCTCGCACCCTGCGCCAGAGCGCTGAGCCTGAGAGAGGCCCTTGCCGCCAGCGCTGCCACCTCTCTCGCGCCCTGCGCCGGAGCGCTGAACCTGAGAGAGGCCTGCAGAGGCTGGGCACCCCCCCCTACTGCCACCGCTGTCTCTCTCAGGCCCTGTGCCAGAGCGCTGGGCCTGAAAGAGACCTGCAGAGGCTGGGCGCCTCCCCTTGCCGCCGTCTCTCTCAGGCCCTGCCCTGGAGCACCAGGCCTGAGAGAGGCCTGCAGAGACTGGGCACACACCCCCTTGTGCTGGCGGATACTTTTTTTGGAGGGTGGGGGGTGGCCGCGAGCACCTGGGCTGCAGGGCGCTCGGGTGCACGTTGGCAGGGAATGTTTCTTGGGAGGTGGCAGCGAGTGCCTAGGCTGCAGGCTGCTCACGCGCTCCAACATGGGTTGGCGGGGAAAGTTTCTTGGGGGGTGGCCGTGAGCACCCGGGCTGCAGGCTGCTCGGTTGCGTGCTGGCAGGGACTTTTCTTGGGGGGTGGAGTGGCTGTGAGCGCCCGGACTGCAGGCTGCTCCAGCACAGGCTGGTGGGGAAAGTTTCTTGGGGGTGGGTGGCTGCTAGCGCCCAGGCTGCAGGCCGCTCGGGCGCACACTGGCGGTTAGGGTTAGGGTCTTGGGGGGGTCTCTTTCTCTCTGTGTCTTTCCCCCTCCCCGTCTCTCCCTTCCCCCCCCCCCCCGCTTTTCATATTCATCACTCTCCTGATCTCTAATCAATTTTGGAGCAATGCTAATTTATTTTATTTATTTATTTATTTATTCTTGAAACCGCAGGGGAAATTGGGTGAAGCCACGGGTCAAAATGCGGCTGCGCGGCTTTGAGTGGGAAATTGACCAGTGGAAACGGGGCAA